TCATCTTCTAATGCACTAATCAATTTAGTGATCACTTCATTCGTCGCCGCATTTTCACCCATATCCCCGAGAGCTTCGCATGCACACCCTCTGACTTCGTTACTCTCATCTTCTAATGCACTAATCAATTTAGTGATCACTTCACTCGTCGCTGCGTTTATGCCTATATAACCGAGAGCGACACATGCACACCCTCTGACCTTGTCACTCTCATCTTCTAATGCATTAATCAGTTCAGTGATCACTTCACTCGTCGCTGCTTTTTCGCCTATATTCCCGAGAGCCTGGCATGCACCCCTTCTGACCACGTCACTCTCATCTTCTAATGCATACATCAGCTCAGTGATCACTTTATCCGTTGCTATTTTCCCCCCTATATATCCGAGAACCGAGCATGCACTCGATCTAACTTCGTTACACTCATCCTCTAATGCATACATCAGCTCAGTGATCACTTTATCCGTTGCTATTTCCCCCCCTATATATCCGAGAGCCGAGCATGCACTCGATCTGACTTCGTTACACTCATCCTCTAATGCATACATCAGTTTAGTGATCACTTCATTCGTCGCTGCTTTTTCACCAATTTTTCCGAGAGCTACGCATGCACTTGATCTGACCCTGACACTCTGATCTTCGAATGCAATAATCAGTTTATTGATCACGTCATTCGTCCCTGCTTTTTCCCCCATATTCCCAAGAGCTTCGCATGCACTTTCTCTAACCATCTCATCTTTATCCTCAAGTGCGATAGTCACTAAATCACTCGGTACAACCGCTAGATCTGAACTGTTCATTTGAGAAATGAGAGAGAGCACTTCGCTTCTGATATATGAATCATCATTTTGAAGTAGATGGATAAATGCGTTTATAATTGCTTGACTGCTTAATACCGATGGTGCTCTTCTTAAGGATTGCACAAGATGCTCAGGAATAATGTTGTTTTCTGATGACAAATTATATTCAATGTATTTTGCTATCCATTCTAGCAATGCAGTATATTGTGGGATAGTTGATTGGCATGATGTCTCTTCAATGCAAGAGATAATAAGTTGCATATGTCTTATTCCAATAAGATCCATCGGTGGTGTTAATATAAGTTCCCAAAAGGTGGTTAAACATATATTTGAATCAGCCTGACTGGAAAGACCTGATAAAAAAGCAAACACTAATGCATAACGTTGATTGTATTTCTCTCGTTGAATAAATTTGATTTCTTCTTGATGAGTTGAAGAGTCTTTGAGAGCTTTAATCAAATATCGTGCTGTAAAATATTCTTGAAAACTGAGATGGACAAAATAATGATCTTTATCTGTTTCAATCTGAGTATGGATACCTTGTTTATTAAAACTTTTGAGAACTCCCATATTGAGTATATGTGGATGGTCCTGTATAGAGACTTTTTCTTCGTTTAATGCTTTTTTCAGTAGATTTGGTCGTAGAATTATGGTGTTACTCTTCATTCCATTAAAGGCAAGATTTTCTAAGAATGCTAGTTCTTTTTCACAACGTTGATTGACGTCGTCTTTAGATAAATTTTGAATTTTTTTATTTGGCATTGATAAATATCGTCGACATAACCATTCTATCATAACTGTATATAATGATGTTATTGTTAGTTCTTTTGTTTCTATGAAATCTTCATTACTCCAAAGACTGCATATTAGTTCTAGATTCACTGGAATATGAGCAACACCCCAGATAGATTGATTTGTCTGTAAGAATCTGAATAATTCTTGGCTTTTGTTCAAAGAATTGTCGAGTTCATCTTTTATTTGAATAAAAAATTGTTGTACATACTGTTCGATATTTTCGTCTGTAAAACCTGTGATTTCCATTTGCACATGATAAGCTAATACATTTTGATATGGACGAGATGTTAAAATATGATGTGGAGTTTTAAGTAATTGTTCGAATAAACATTCTAAATGTGAAGGTATATTTTGTATAATTTCATCATATCCATCCAAAATCCATAGAGTCTTGTTTGCATCAAAGTGTTTTTTCAGAAGTTTGTCTTCACTTTCAGATAGATCATATGAAAAAATTTCTTTTTTCACAAGATCAAGCAAAGAATAATTTTGACCACTTGGTAAAGGAGGATATCGATCAGTTGTTAAGCGACGTAATGGAATCAAAGCTAATAATTCATACTGTGTCCAGTATGAACCCATCGCCCATTGGTAAGCAATATATCGACAAAATGTAGATTTTCCGATTCCAGCACGTCCGAACACCAGCACTTTCTTCTCTTGATTTTTGCATGTTTCAAAAATGTTTTTAACATCTATTGTTGTTTTTGATCCATAAATCTCTTCAAAACTTCCCATAATAGCATCATTGTTGGGAGCATCACGAAGTTGTTTTTCTTTTTGTTGTTGTTGTTTAGTTTCGACGATGGCTAAATTAATGTAACTGTCTTCAATTGGATAGAATTTTGCTGGATTCATTAGACGTTCAATATAACCATTTCGATAATATTCTTGTTTTATCCATTGAAACAGATGATTTGGCTCAGATTGTGATTCACTATTAAAAACGTATAGAATATTTAGAAAATAATGAATCTTTTATCAAGTGTTATTTAACACAAACTCATTTAATTTATTTTCGATTAGCTCAAAAAATTTACTAGCGGATTCACAAAAGAGAAACTAATACTTCATGTATCACGAGGAGATTTATTTATGTGTATTTCTATAAACTTTTTCGGGTGAACCTTTACCTTTGCTACGGTCCATCAAAGAAAAACAACTGTTGTTCGAAAACTGTTGGGAATAATTTGCAGATTTTCTTGTAGGTAGTGAATATGTGAATTGTAAAAGTTTTAGTTCATAAACTTATATGCATGCATTACTATCAGTCTTAATTTATCTTTTCTATGACATATACTTCTTATCAATATTTAAGCTTCGATATTGAACTATTTATCAGACAAAAGAAACGGTGAGACAGTGTGAATCACATTGTAGATCGTTATACCTATAGAATAGAGAATTTTTGTAGGGTGATCATGTTAAATATATTCTCAATGGCAAATGAATATGATAGATTTTATTTATCTTTTCAAATGGACTAACCTTCGAAGAGTTACTTCGTCCAAGTGAACAACAAAGAGACGATCATTGAAATTGAGTACTTCGGTTTTGGCTCGTACACGAGTGCCAGGCATTAGAATAACTTCTCGCTCCTCTGGATTTGCTGAAAATTGGGAGATATCTTTGCCATCGATAGCTTCAATAGTGAACAAAGTGCCGTGTTCGCCTAGAAATGGTTGAACAATTTTTAGATCCATCGAAGTTGAATTCACACTCCACCAAATGTCGATATTACTATTAGCAAATACTGAACTAACATCACCGTAAACACCTCTCCAAACAACTGTCTTAATTGATGGTAATTTCTTGAGAGCTGTCATAATCAGTTTTAAGTAAGCAAACCATGGTTTAAGTGCATGTCGATCTTCAGCTCGAAGTGTATTGTTGAGAGAAGAATAAAAAGATGATGGCATTGAGTAAAGATATATTGCAGCTGATTCATCCCAAGTTAACAAATCTGCATGTTGATCACATTCATTTTTAGCTGTCATAACATAATTTATGACACGAGGAATGAGTGGAATTAGTTTTTCCACAGCTTCTTCTAATGTCAGAATGGATGAATCTTCATAACCAAATATTGGACTGCGATTGGCTTCTTGAAGTTCAAAGATAGTATGGTTTACAAAACGATTTTCCGACATAAGTATCAGTTATTATTGTATTTTCGCCGGGATGCGTTCAAACTAACCGTTTGTACCTAGAAGACAAAGATAATTAAGATATTGTATCAATTCAAATCATGTTCCAGATTCGTCGTCTTCTACTGAATTTCTAATGAAAGCAAGGCTCATGCCTAGCAAGGACCGTTGTGAGACTACTAGTATACGAAGACAAGCTTTCGATTAATATGATGGAAGACGAGTACGAAGATATCTATATGCATTTGAGTTATCGTTTATCGTAAACGAAAACAAGCGTATTAATTGTGGCAATGATTGATCACGCTTATTCCTCACTGCATGCTTACAGAATATTATTGAATACATCATGAAGAGCATAAACAATATGCATGCGATATGTCGGCCGAAGAAATAAACGATTCGCATTATGAGTCTGAAAGTAAATAGGCTTGGGATTTAGTCAAAGACAAAAGGAAAGTGTGAATAAATATTGATGAAGCACAGAGAAATGTAGGCGACAGCGTTCAGCCGCGAAGGACTGGATTATTTATGATTATTTTCAAGAAATTTTAGTTAGAGAAAAAGAAAATGAAAAGAACACATTTTGGATAGAATGCAAGGTGAAGCTCATCTAACGACAACTCGAAAAATACGCGTAAAAACAATAACTTACTCACTGTTATGTAGAATATGGTTTCGAGGATTAAACAAGTTTATTGATAAGTCACACAAAACAATAGTAAACAATAAAATAAAAGATCGTATAATTTGTCACATAAAAATGCGGGCTGTATATATAGAGAGAATGACTATCTTGGTAGAGCGAAAGATACATATAGAATATAAGAAGATATCACATCCTAGTAAAGAAATCCAGGTACAAGATATTATATATGATATCAAGAGAGAGACAAAGATGTTTATCGAAACAAGAAAGAATAAGTAACACGTGGATTTGTTAGAAGAGGATATTATCACATAAAACCACCATAAAGAGAATTTTATCACGAAAAGAAATGTGTTACACAAAAAAAACAATTGCGTAATAGTTTTTGCCGTAGAAGGAATAGTCGTCATGTGAAGAAATTCAAAACAATATATGCGCCGTCGTCTTTATAAAAGACGAGAGGAAGCTACCGAAAATTTTTCTTTGAAAGAAAGGAGAAAGAGTAGAATGCTGTTTGACTATATGTACAGAATAATTTTCTTCAACGAAGTATTATCTAACATAGTAATATATATACACCATTTTTTTATCTTTACGGTGAAATGAATCAGTCTCTAATGTATGAAATTAAAGGCAAAATGGACTCGTGTATCTGTATTGTTATTTGAAAATGTGGATCAATCCAAAAACAATTCCATTAAAAACATGACTTTAAATAAAAAGAAGTGACTATGTGCACCTAGATAGATATAGAAAATTAACTAAAAAATATTAAGTTATATCAGTCTTACATACATTTGATTATTAACATATATGAAATGACTTAACTAAATAATTGTTTAACTTTATTAATTCTTTATTACATTCAAAAATAAAATATAATAATTTATTACAGTTGCGCCTATTCATAGAAAAAACTTAATTTAAATAAGAATCAATCATATTATAAGCATTTCTATCACGTATTGTCTCGGGCTTCAAAGTAATTATTGAATTTTTGTTTCATTACACTTTTACTGAAAATTATATTATGTCACAACTTTTCTTTGCTTTAAATGGTAGTTTTTTTTCTATTAATTAATTATAAAACAAAATATACTATGTTTTCTCATAATTAATTGGTATATAAACTGGAAAACTGAAAAACATATAAGACTAATCAGCACTCAATCCAAGATGGTACACGCGCATACTAGTCTGATCGCATGTGCTCTTAATATAACATTAAATAGTGAATACGTAGTTCATCGGCACTCTTTAATCAGAAAAACAAACAAGATAAAGATTCTTTTTCCATCAAGCAATCTGACCACTGAGAGAATTTTAAAAAAAAATTTAAAAAGTAGTTTAATAAATATTAAACGCTCTTCAATGAAAATATAATGAAAAAAGACTGAATGAAATATATGTAAGATGATTGATTATTATCTAAATTAAGATTTTTTTTGAGGATATGCGCAACTATGATACATAATTCAAACTTATTTTTGAATTTAGTACAAAATTAATAAAGTAAAACTATTATTAAGTTAAGACATTTCATTTAAGATTTTAAGAAGTAATGACATAATAGCTTTTGAAGTTCTCATTGATTTTCTATTTTGAGTTGACATGAACTGTTGGTAGATGATATTTCTAAAGCAGAAAAGATATCTTAACAAGACATAATCTATGAACAGAATAAACTAATTTGGTCTGAATTAAAAGAATTCGATGATTTCAATTTTTTCTTTGCGGTGAGAGTTTTATGATTGCCATCAAGCTTATGTCTCTTACAGGGTTAAATTCTTTTTCCTACACAGCAGAAATTCTGTAGACTACTTCCAAATGAATTTTGTTCAAATAAGCATACTACTACTAGAAATATTAATTATCCTCAATAATTTCCTTTTACTTCAATGTATAAAAGTATATTCAATGGATGTCACTTTTATTCAACAGAGTCAGAGTATATATGGAACTTAACTATGAATGGTTAAATCATAATCCAATTAATAAAGGGATTTAGAATCTTTGAATTTATTGCGAATTTATTAACGTCTGAAAGTTAACATTATGTTATCAAAAAGTCATATTATAATTATTTGTCTATGGGTAATCATTGGCACAATAAGTAAATCTTTTTCATTAGTATTCTGAAAATTTATTTTTTTAAAATAGTGTGCAGTAATAAAAATAAGGAAACCGATGTCATGGATGATATATGTACAACTGGTGGGAATGTTGCTTGTCGTATATATTGTTTCGCTACAACATTTTCATTAACTGGTTATTGTGATGCAAATAATGATTGTATTTGTAACTCAACATTAACTACGAATAGTAATAATAATAATATTATTGAAGAAGTTGAAGTGTATATTATTAATAAATGATCTATATTATATTATTGTACAAGCCTTTTTCAATAAAGTTTTCTTATATTATTATTCATTCATTAGTTTTTAAGAACAGGCTATTTGCTTTTTTCAGCATTGATGCAATGCTATCTTTATAACTCGTTACTATGATTCTAAATCCATGTTACTTATATTGTCTCACAATTGTGGATCTAAAAATATAAGCACTTCAAATACTTTATAAGACATTTCAGCTATCCATTATTTCTAACTGAAATTGAAAGATGTCTATACAAGGATACATAAATAATATATGATAAAAAAACTCTTCTCTCCTTTTTTTTGTGTTTCGTATAATGATTGTTTTTTATTAGTATATTCTCTTGTCGTCTATTTGTCATTTTTCTTCTTTTCTTTTCAAACAAACACAATAGACGAGACAGATGATCTTCGATGATTTATGTCGACTAATATTCTCTATGTGTGACAAGCAAACATATTATTTATGCAACATCTTTTCTTTTCAAATAATATTTATTCTTCAAATATTCATGTATTAAAGTAGTAGATGATTCATAATTGCATATGTTAATCACTTCATGTGAAAACTTGTTTCTATATTGTCTAGTGATAAAGAAAATAGTATTGAAATTAGTGTGTGTCAATCAATCATAGTAAGATACTAATGTCAAAAGAACTTTGTCATTAGAACATGATTTTTTGTAATTAACTACAAGTGACCTAAAGTTATTTTAATACAAACAAAAATACGATTTTTTTCAAATCATGGCTATTATAACGTTTTACTGTAAGCACTATAGTATGACATTTTTTTGATTATAAACGGTTGACTTCATCTTTTATATTCGCTCTTACGACTATTATATAACTTTCATCTTGCGGAATAATGAACTAATTGCTCATGCAACCTTTTTCTTCTCTTTTAATGTCTTAAAAGGCAAGATAACTATTCTATCTCATAGTAACATATAATAACGTCAAACTTTAAAAAAAGAAAACTTTATAATTACTCTAAAATATAAGCAATCATCAAATTTCATTTAATGAATAGAATTCTTACATATATATATTTATTCTATTGAATATTATATCACGATATTGGATTCAATATCAAAAGAATATGACTTCATTGCATAATAGTATATAAACCAATTACTTCGAATTTACACAATCAAAATCTGTTACATTTATCATGCATATAAAAATCATTACTTTTCCAAGGACATGTTCTTCAATAATTTGAACTTATATACAATATCATTTTCATGTTAATTAAGTTATTAAAATATTAATTAGTATTAAATGTAAATTACATAGTAAAGATATATGTTAATATCACAATACATTCATTAGATGTTGAGACAAGCATGTCTGTATATATATATATCGATCCTATACCATATCATATAACATATTTGATACTCAATTTATGAACAGGATATTTTTAATTTGATATGATCATTGTAATTAGATCGTATTGATTTCGACAATTAAACATGTATTGATCTGTTCATATAAAACATATGAATTATTAGTCGTTAAGATTTTTGTACTCATACGATCATATGTTAATATTGAAAAAAATTCAAATATTTTTTTCTGTCTCTGATTTTGGTATTTTATTTATCGCTGCTATATGCAATGAGTGGCACAGAAATAGGAAAACAAACGGATGCACACACAACACAAAAACAAATATCATAAGCAACTGTGCTGTCACTGAGAAAGAAAAAACAGGAAAAAGAAAAGCACACCGGGCAGACATAGAAATATGCGCGCACTCAAGACAAAGAAAAACTTCTATATATATATACACTCTTCACAAATGCAATAAAATATTAGTGTTCTATAGTTATTGAATGATGACGATTAAGAGATGCACGATAATTCGCTGATAAATTATTTAAACTTTGACTTAGACCTTTTCGTATAGTTGAAGCTGGTGTAGTTGGACATGTACGATAATCTAATGGAGGATTATTTGGTTCATCATTATCATTATTATTATTATCAGAAAATAAATGTTCAATATCCATTTCAGCAAAAATCGATAGTGGAAAATCTTGATTATATTCATTATTACTTTGATTATCATCGTCATCTATAGTTGGATTAAAAGAAAATCCTTCAGTATGTTGTCGTAATACACGCATGATATCATCTGCAAGATCACCACGTAAATTATATTGAAATGTTGCACGCATTAATGCTTCACGATCATTAAGATCAGGTTCGATTAAGAATGGTTCACCAATAGGAAACGTAGCTTCAATTTGTGGATGACGACGAGAACGTACACGTTTAACAAGTTTATAAATTCCAAATGGTGGTAAAACTGTGATAGCTGCAGTTACAGCACCAGCTACAATAACTGGTGAAGCAACAACAACACTAGTTGCAATTACACCACGTATTGTTCGACGAAGCCATGGTTTTTCAGGATAAAAATTATATGGACACCCAAACATACTAATAAAGGAAAGCTTCATTTTTATTTTTATATACAAAAACAAATATTTACCTAAATTTGTTACTATGTTGACCAATAAATGGAATTTGTACATAACGTCGACCACATAGATAACAAAATTCACATGAACATGATTGACATGTCATATGAGGACAACCTATCAAAAGATAAATATTTATAAAATTATAAAAAATAAAGCATATATCATGCCTCCAGCACGTTGTATAAGTGAAGAACATTTAGGACATTTTCTTGCATTCCATTGTTCTTCATTTTTTTGATTAATCCATTTTAATAAAAGTTTATCACCTTTTATAAATTGTTTACAAGTCATATTTTCATGCCATGGTGCCGAACAACGAAAACACCAAACAAGTGAACAATCTGAACATTGAACTTGTTTTGGAATTTTTTTATTATTTTGTTTTTTTACATTTTTATTATTATTATTATTTACTAAAGGAATTGGATTTATTGTATCCAATGAATAAAGATGACAACAACGAGGACCTAAATATAATCCATAGGATAGATCAACAATAAATTTGATTGTATGAATTTCTTACATGTTTTAGCACGTGGATTTTGATTAAAAGTTAAATATAATTTCAGATAACGTTCATGTAATACAGGATCATATCGAACAAAATTTACTATCGATTCTCTTGTTAGATATTTATTACATTCATTAGCTACACATGGGATTTTAATTCGTCCATCATTTATCGTCGATGATATATGTGCACGCCAACAACTATTACAACAAAGATAATAACAACATGGAGATACTTGTAATACTGCTTGTTCTAAACAAATCGGACATGGTGAGCTGACATAATTTGGTAGTGTTGGAAATGATTGTGGATCTAGTGAATCATCAATAATTGTTTCATCATCATCATCATCGTCATCATCATCAAATGATTCATTATCACCATCGCTCATAGTAACAGTCTTTTCAACATCTGTCAATAAATCTTGTGGTTTATTATTATCGTTAAGCAGACGTCCTTCATCAATAGGATTCGTAGTAATCTCGATATTATTTGGTATCACTGTTGTATTAGTTAATGATTGTCGTCGACGAAGTGATTGTGCTACAGAACCTGTTTCAATACAATAAATCGTTAGAGAAGTTGTTGATGATGCTGTTGATGATGGTGTTGGTGTTACACAAGTAACATTTAATTTATTTGAAAGTGAACGACGAATAAAAGAATTAGTATCAAGAGTAGTATCCAATATAGTTGATTTTTTTACAACATCTATTGTGGACGGAATATCAGTTGAGCTAGATAAATATTGCTCAGCCATCTAAAAATAATAATCAATTCTTTTTTTTTCTTTCTTTTCATAATTAAAATAAATAATATACGAAAAAAAAAATATATAATCAGATTTCTTTAAACAAAAAAGAAAGGCTTAATTTATTGATTATGAAAATAAATCATATCTAGAAGAAATCGGACATGAGTATTAAAATTAATGATCGAATCGAACGTCATTAATACTGACAGTCAGTAGTGAAGAGATAAATTGTATTGACGTAAGTCGTCATTGTCCTTCACTCACTTTTTTTCTTCTCATCTTTTTTTTTTTGTACATACATTCTCATGTATAATGACGATCAGCAGTGAACACGCACGCGCTTACTCGTAAAGGTTTCTATTTTTCTTTTTTTCTCCCTCTTTCTCTCTCTCGTTTTTTTTTTATTCTTTTAGTAGGATTGCATATGTCTGTTCTCTTTTTCTTTTCTATAACGGTGTATATATATGTTGACGACATCCAACACAATTTGTTATTCGCTCTGACTTACCATGGCTTGTAAAAATGAGAGAAATATAGAGAATAGTCGTCATTTTTCTTTTCTCCTTTCTGTTTAATTACGCTTTGCTTCTCTCAATAAGAAAAAAAGTGTCCCAATATAGTTGTGTAAGGCGTAGGTTGTCGCTTTGTCAGAATAGAGAAAGGCAAAGCAAAGAGAAAAGAAAAAAAAGAAATCTATTGAAAGACGCCACATCACACAAATAGCGACAAGAGGAGAAAAAAAACGCCCCACGATGATCGCCGCCATCTTGACAGAAAAGTGAAAAAAAAGAGGAAGAAGAGAATATTAAAAAAAAAACGTACAGACAGATATTTTCTATTGATGATGAGTCAATTATATTACGGTGATCTGTGATGACAACTGTAAATCTGATCCATTTATTTGCTTATAATGAATAATATATATTATACTTGCTTTATTTGGTAGGATATTTAATAGTTTGTTTGTTATTATTCTGTCTATTCTGTCATAGCAGAATTGTCACATATAGTTGTTAGATACATAACTGTCTGTGTATGCAGTATTATCTATTTCTATATTTAGAGAATAACTTATCCTTGACAAAGTAATAATAATGTTGGAAGGTTATTTTTGTAGCTTATCATACAACCTAGAATTTAACAAGGACTTAAGAATATCATGAAATTTCGTTTTTTTGTTGTTATATAAGAAAAATAAAATAAAATCAATAGAATGTATTATATATTGGTTAGATCATTTTTGTAAGCATTGTTTCGTTGATTTTGTAAGATGATAATGTTTTATTCATTAGAAATAAAGTCCTGATTTTTTTCTACATTAAATACTATTAATCAATTCTAATACAAATATAATTGATCTTATGTTTTCAATTAGAAATAAGTTTCGTTTTTCTTTTGAAAGCATCATAACAAATTATTTACAATGTAAGGAAAAAATTGACCTAAATATATATTGTAACTATAACCAGAAATTGAAATCTGAACAAAAAATATATTATTCAATATAAGATGAAGAAAAAAAACTGAAAACAATAAGGATTAATATTTGAGAAAAAGAAAGGAATATTTTCCAAATCATCAACATGATTGTGGGCGGGAATATTAATAATTAAAGGACATATATTGTGTGTTTTTGAAACCACTCTTAAAGCACAGATACATTACAAAAAAAGTAAACATCCACATAATTATAATATGACAAATACAAAACACAAAAAGAAATTGTTTGCATATCAACGTATGACGTTCTAGATTTGTTAAATACAAAATAAAAACAAAATCGGGATAGACTGATTAGGTAAAAAAAAAGAACTGCAACAGTTTCGATTCAAGAAATTTTCCATCCATTTTCAAAATCTTCTCATCAATCATTCAAAAAACGTCCTAGTTATATAATTAGTTGGCACCATTCTTAATATTGGACAGAACAACATACTGTGCAATAGCAATTAATATCATTTGAAAGTGTAGTTCAACGCAATACTACTCGAGAGGATTGTAACTCAAGTATGAAGCAATACTCTCCCGCTGTATGAGTCTGTCTGTAATTCATCTCAGTTGATCTAGAAATATTCTTACTGCAAGCTATTGCTGACCTATTCTCACATGCTTAGACATATATATATATAGAATATTGATAAGCGCTTACAGGTTAAAGCAGCATAAATCATTTAAACCAACTCAAATCTTAGAAATATAATTACTAAGAAATCCGTTTTTAACTTTGTAAGCATATTTAAGCGCTTATAAAATAAAAACTCAAGCTATTATAAGTAAGCTTAAGCGCGTTTAACTTTTCTCATGAGGCTTGCACATACAACGCTCTACATTGAACAGTCAAATATTTTTTTCAGTGCTACACCATTATACTCTATAATATAAAATGCGGGATGTATGACGTTTCGTACCATCTTTTACGGACATCTGACAGCATGACCCGGTGTTCGGAAATACTGTTGTACAGAAAATCGTAACAAAAAAAGTAAGATACCTCTGGCGGACCGATTCAGAATAAATACCCACACCCACATCCACACCCATTCCGACATACGTGACGAAAATTTTGAATAATTGTTTTGTCGAGAGTCCTAATTGACGAGGTGTTACGAAACGTTATTTTTCTAAAAATCCGTTAACTATTCATAAAAACTAAATTATTTTCTTATGATGAATACTGAGAATAATTTCAATCTGAATTGAAAACTTCTTGAGTCGAAATTTTAGCCTCTCAAAAACAGCAAGTTGAAGGTAGCGTTCTAAGTAATGTGCTAGTCGTGGCTTGAGGGATGGGTATAGTTGGATCTTCTGCAGTTTTTTGAAATTGTTCGCGAATTTCTTCATCTTCATTTTCATCAAAACTTGATCTTAATTGCTGTTTTTGAAAACGATCAGCAACGATTGCAATCAATGCCGCTCCTTTACCACTACCATCATCAGATAACGTTAATTTGAACTAAACAAAAAAATATTAAAATTAAATTTCATAGAAAATTCATGCAGAATAGAATAATATCAATATGATGTAAAACAAAAATGAAAAAAAGCTTTAGTATCATGAGTATATAACCACATACCAGCTTTTTCCTCAATATATGCTTGTTGTTGTTTATTATACCTTACAGTTCTGTAAGTTTGTAGTTAGATTTCATTTTCCTTGTAGCAGTAAAACATTCTGCTACCACAGTTACTACTGTACCAACACCAAAATCATAGTTTGATAACTGTAGTAGGTACTGAAATTCAGTTTTTTTTCTTTTTAATTAGTCAATATCACAGTCTTTACTTAATCTATCTTTTTTTATTTTTCTTAAGAAAATAGAGTTATCTTACGTACTTTGATATTTTTATTGACAACAGTTTTCATACATTTTTCCATATTTCTCTTGAACCTTGGGTGGTAACGATAGAGTGAACCATCAACACCAACAGTTATATTAGGTTTATTTATACGATTGACTATTACAGCAAGGCCTAAATTTTTAATGAATATTTAATAGAATCACTAATTTTTATATTTCAATAGATATTTACTTGCGCCAGCTAATCTTGCAGCACGTTTCGAAACATTCTTGCAAATATGTTGTACAATAGCACAATCATCAAATGTTGGGTTTCTAATACCGATATCTTCTAGGACACGTCTTGTATTTGCAAATGCAATACCTTCATCTGTCTCCACAGTACTAACAAATTTTGTATAAAAACCACCGCGAGTAAATAATGGTGTACTATAATCTCCGTAACCATCACGTTGACCAATAAATAACAGATCTTGTTGCATTAAATCAAGTATAATCAAACGAACAATTTCGCCCATATACATTCCGCTAATCATTTTTTCAAAACTAAAAAATAGGGATATATTAAATATAAAAAAAAATGTTATTCTTATTTATATACATTTGTTTGCCAGGATTAACTGATGAGAGATCAACTTCTTCATCATATTTTGTACGTATATGATTTAAACGATTATTATTACCAAATGCTCCCCATTCCATATTAATAATAACTTGTTTTGGTTCATTATAATCACCATCCCATGTACCAACTCGACCTATTTTTTCCATATAACATGCATTTGTACCTGTACCTAATATAAGACCAATTGCTGTATTTGGATCTTTATATGCACATGCCATTAATGTGCCAACTGTATCATTGACAAGTGCAACACATTGTACATTAATACCCTAAATGAAATGAATTAAAATAATTATAGTTTTTCTTAATGAAATACTTTTTCATCAATTGCTGTTTGAAGTAGTTTAACAACATCTTCATTAACAACACCTGCACATGTAAAACCTTTTGTCCAAGATGTTAATCGCGCTGATGCAAGGCCTTCTTGTTTACATGGAAATGAAAATGTAAAACCTAGAAATATATTGCAATAAGATTTCAATACCGTTCTGAAAAAAGAAATGTTTACCTAATGGATAACGAATATTTGTTTTAAGAATATTTTCTTTTTTCATAAAATCCAAAAGACAATCCGCAAGATGACGAAAAAGCTAAAAAAAGGTATTCCTTTTAATAATGTTTGTCTTTTGCTTTAAGTTTATGATACATACATTAACACCTTCACCAAGCATAATTGATTGTGGTATAACGAATATTTTTGATTTTAAATCAACTCTTGATTGTGGTAATAAAGTAACAAGTAAAACACGAAAATTTGTTCCACCTAAATCTAATGCAAGAACTTGACCGGTTTCAGATCCGTCAGCAATATTTCTAACATATGTAGGAAACATTTTAACATCAGCATTTTTATGTGTAGCAGGAGAAAGACCAGCATCCATTTCTTGTTCAAGTAATTGCATTATGTGACGAAGCTTCTCATCGTCAAGACGCAATGATTCAAGAACTTTTTCAATCTATTAAAAAGAACAATAGATATATCGGAACAGACTTCAACTTAGCGACATCTTTAGAATCAGACTACTAGTACTATTATTATAGTCTGTGATAATCAATAATAATAAGGGTAAAAGAACAATATCGCAATGTGAAACATTGATAAACATAGTCTAGGTTGATTAGTGCAAAGTGTGTTCCTGATAAATTCTCACGTTTCTTCAAAGTCATGTCCAATCTTTCACGTTCTATAATAATGATATTTTCATATAAGCTATAAAACTATTTGCAATCATTTATTAATATATATGAGTTCATTAGGTGCAACAATATGTACTAAATTTTTATATATGTATGATTATCAAATGATTCGTTACAATTAGTTTTTGAAAATTTTCATCTTTATTTTTACTCGTATTTCATAGAAATTTGATCTCAATCATTATTACTTATTATCAATATTCAATGAAAATTTCTTGTTTCTTTTATAGAAAAAAAAGCAACTCATGGTGGACTTGTACGTTATTCTTCAAGGCGAAACCATTGCTGAAGTAAACAAATATATTCCGAGAGAAAGTGGTAATATTTCTTTACATCTTCTCGGGTACATTCAACTGATTCTTTTTCTTCCTTGTTTCTCATTAGTTTCTTTATGAATATGTTTCAAGCCCGATTTTGTCGTTCTGAACGGGGGTGTGTCATAGAACGCATTGCATTAGAAACATACGATTTTTTCTGTAGACGTCTATACCTCTTAGTCAAAGTGACGTTTTATTGCATCATGTAGTTTTTTTCTCATGTAAGCGAAGCAAAGAACAATATAGGATATTCAAACACAATCGTTTTCTATGACGTCATCATAATAAAAATAGACATTTTCAAAGTATGAAAACGTAAATTCGTTCGTTGAGTTATTTTACCTGCTCATTTGATTCCGGATGGCGATTTTGAAGAGCATGTGCTGTTTTATTAGGTCCTGCTGCTTTGTAGCCTACATAGGCTGCTAAACCAACGACAGAACAGGCAGCAAGGCTGTAAAAACCAATGCGCAATGTAGACGTCAGTGAATCGTCTTTAATTATTGTAGCAAGAGAAGACATTAATCGAATAATTTTGTATAATTATCAGGATTTTAAAGCATTACCAATAATTTCGATATAAATAAGTAACAGAAAAGACGATGTAAAATCCAAAATTTTGCGCGATAGAACGATTAGACGGATTTTTGTTTAAACAAATAATATTCAAAATTGTAAATAAACGTGCGATCGATTGTAGAGCGTAAAATTTGTAGATATTTGTTTTTTGTACAGAACGAAGAAGAAAAAAAAATGAACAAACGAAAGATAGTTTTATTAAGTAAACTTGTATTTTATTTTATTTTTATTCCTTTCTAGTTGTACGATCGTCGCTGTCGTGTAGGGTGTATAGTAATTGTGTTTCGAGCGTGTGTGTCTGTGCTGAGTAGTAGTCGTCAATGCTTTTCTTTCTCATTTTTATACACAGCAAGCATTTTCTCGTTCTTTTTCATTCTAACCAACGAATAGTATTTTTCTCCCTTTTTCCTCCTTCACCCTAGCGCTTTGCAAGCTTTCTTTTCTTTTTTTCTGGCTGCTGGTTGACTGCAATGGAAGAGAAATATAGAGAGTATAATTATGGATTTTTTTCTAGCGAGAAGAAAGGAAAAATATAGTATACTATCGTCGACAAACAAGAGTAAATTCTCATAGTAGTAGAGTTAACAATGAGACAAATGTGTAAATATGCATTTAATTTAAAGATTTCTCGATTGTAATTTTTATTCATCTTTGAATTAAATAGTAGCTGTATTATTTGTTTATGTCTGAAACTGACATGCACTCTTGCCTTGCTCTGTTTGTGAAGAATTAAACTAAAAGAATTGCCTCCTGTATATCTATTTTTATCTTTATCCGTTGACTCAATGTACGTACTTTCGAAATAAGTTTGTTGTACTTTGCCTCACCTTTTCGTACTGAATTAGTCAGCGACACACCCATATTACTTTTTTGCGTTATTACTAATTTTTTAGACTCATCAATAAAAATCATGTCCATTTTGCGTGTCGATATTCCTCGTCACATGATAGATTTGCGTTACTCTTATTTTTAACACGATAATTCTTATAGGATATTATTCTATTAAGAGATCAGAAATTTATTTGGTTGAATGATTTCTTATTTATTATAAATATTAGAGTAGTATGGATCAAAGATTCTCTTTTAATAGAACTGACAAAACTTATTATATGTTAAATTGTCTTTGTTTTATTGACTAAATGTTTAACTTGCGAACAAAATGAATGAAACATTTATAATTATATTTAAACAAAAGAAAAAGATAAAAGAAGAAGTTTATATGAGAAGATATAATATGTCAAAAGTTTATGTTTTATTATTGTTATTATTAATATTTCTTTCTCATTAATCGATTATTTCCACAATCGGCCAGTTCGGCAGGAACACAATCATTATCTTGCGCTGAATATGCTAAACCATTGTCGCATTCCATTACACTATGCCAGCCTATAAAGAAAATTATCGATATAATTTTTCTTTAGAAAAAATAACAATTGATTTTTTTACCTGTAGCACAATAATGAAATTTATGGCAATGTACAGGATCTGCATAATAACCATTAGAACGACCAGCACAAGTAAAAATAGATGGTAATCCAAATGGTACAGCCTGTGTTGATGTTGTTGTTGTAGTTGTTGTCGTTTTTAGAACTGAACGTGTAAATGGAAACCATTTTTTCTTCGATGATCCTTTATGGTAATAATATAGATGGTTAAAAAGGAAATTTTGTTTTTTTATGAAGAATTTTGAATACCTGATGGTGGTTCAAAAGATTTTGAACTTTGACAACCAGTTAAATGAGCTGGCATACATAAACGTAATAAAGATTCCCATGCTAGACCTGGTGCACACATTGATCGATAATCACGTCCATCAATACATACATGATAAATACGACAATCTTGTGCGTCACCATAATAGCCATCAGCTATATTAAGAAAATTCGATTTATATATGTCAAAAGAAGAAAAGACAATGTTTTTCTACATACAAATACAACTAAATCGAGTCGAACGTTGTTTTTTAATTACTCCACCATTATTTGACATGATATCAGGCGTTGAATCTACAATTATTTGTTTATACTGTAATTTAAAGTATCATGATTAATTAATTATGATACTCAATACTAAGATTCTACTCATCATTTTAGAAAATCAACAGCAAATGTAATGTAGTATTTATTCATATGAGTATAAACTTACATGGTGAAATTGTGGTTGTTGTTGTTCCTGTTGAAGAATCAGGTTTAGCACCATGACATTCAGCTTGTTCATATGGTTTACATGTTTTTGTAATACGATCAAATAATAAATTATTGGGACATGTTCGTTGTTCTAAATGACCATCAACACATTGAACATATTGAGAACATATAACTGGATCAGCAAAACGCATTTGACTTGAATAATTTGCTGGACATGAATTTTGACCTAATTAAATCAATTAATAACGATAAAGAAAAACAAAATATTCTTACATTCTGTCACTTCATGAGGCCAAGCACAACTTTCCATACCTTTAATGAATATTTTATATGTAAATACATATATGTGAAATAAAAATTCTTACGTGAACTCCATATCAGACCAGATGAACAAAGTAAAGAATCACTTTGACTTTTCGCTCCTAAAATTATTAACTGAACATTTTCAAATAATTTTATTTTTTTGTTATTACCATCACAATAATGAAATACAGAACAATCATATGGATCAGGAAAATAACCTGAACTACCTGTGGCACATTCAATTGGTGAATATGGTGGCGCTATTTGTCCTTCACCTTAAGTAAAATCACAAAAAATAGATAAATTATAATAAATATATTTTTATGCTCTAACATTCAGCATCTTTTGGCCATAAACATCCGTTTGCACTAGCTGAAAAATGTAATCCAGCATTACAACGATGTGTTGATTGAAGAACTCCAATAACACACCAATGATATATCGAACATGAACTTGGATCAGCAAAGAAACCAGTTGCACCAGATCGACATGTATAATTACCTTTACCCAATTTAGAATCTGTTCCTATCATTGTTGATGCTGTTGTAGTTGTTGTTGTTGTATCTATATTTTTCATTGATATTTATCATAAATCACTAGATAAAATCTTACCTTCCTCTTGACCCCATTTTTTTCTACCACCAATACATGATGTTGAACTTTGTAAACTACAACCAATTTTAGTTTCATCCCAAAGCATTCCATTTTTACACCAACGAACTGATTGTGTACCACCATAGCATACATGAAATTTACGGCAATCATCTCGATCAGCAAAAAAACCATCATCTATATTTATAACAAAAAAATAATAAACTTAAAATTTCCTAGAAGATTTATTCTATACCAGTACAACGTGAACCAACTTCAGACATGTATTGAGTTCCCGATAGTTTATTTTCATTTGTATCTATTACATAAAAGTAAAAATCAAATATTTTAATAAATTGATTAATTTACATTTAGCAAGTTTTTTTATTTTTGTCATTGTTGTTGTTGTATTTTTGACTGTTGATGAAATAGTAGTACTATTCATTTTATTGGTAAATGTTGCTAAACTTCCACCGATAGTGTATAGAACAAGTGTAACTAGATGATAATTCATTATAATATGATTAGTAAAAAGTAAAACTTACTAAATAGAATAGAATATCTAATAACCATCTTTCGCGTATTTTTGTTCAGTTTGAATATTTTACAAAATGATGTTCACCTCAAGCAAGTGAAAGTATTGAATGAATTGATTCTTTTATGAGGATTGACAATTTATTCATGTCAATCGACACTCAAAGTAAGCGATATGTCAAGCACGTTTTGTTCAATTAACATTATTCGTTCTCATATGTTAAAGATTAAAGCGAAGACACAATACTGTTTTGTATTGATAAGCTTTGAACAACATCATGTACGATTACTAAATTTGTTACATTGACACATATGTTATTTTTACATGGATTGCGACAATCCACAAAAACAACAACATGTAAATCATATAATATTTGTATTCATGACGCAAAATATTTGATAGACACTTTTTGCTAATATATAATAGTAATGTTTGTATTTATGTAGAAGTATCTTAATCCTTTTTATGTATTGAAGAACAATACAATAGAAAATAAATTAATGTGTGAATATTAACATCTAAGTGAGTCTTTTCCGTAAGCAACCTTCGAAAGTTAATAGACAAGCTTCTTTTTATCAGCATGAAAAATTAATGGACTGTAAAAAATGAAATATTAAGAGTATGGTATGCACTGACGTCAAGAACACTGTTAACATTTTCGAAAGATCAATGAGGTTATTTTCGAGAAAAACAAGCTCTTTTGTAGTATAGACTTTTTTGTTCAGGACAATTTTTTTCAGTTGTAATGAAGTAGAACGCACTTTATTTTTTTGTTTTTATGCACCAAATAAAATTATTTAATTGAATTGTTTAGAAATCATTTCTTTTCAACTAGAGAAAAAAAAATCAGAGAAATGAAGGAGAATAGAGAGCATATTAATTAACCATGCTCCTATCCATGGCCATAATCATGCTCGATCGTGACTGATATGCAAAAAAGGGAGAAAATCAATAGTGCGTAGCGCAGTCCGCACCTCACCTTGCTTTTGATATAAAAAAAAATATTGTAGCAGCTCATCAAAAATTTAAATATGTATTTACGAAGAGTGATCATACGTCGTTCAATCATTTGTCTTTGTTTTATAACAATAAGTAGTGTGATTTATAGTGCAACACGTCCAACTCAGTCTGACGGATATATAAGCATTATTGTGTCAATTTTCACGTTTAAACCAAAACCAAAAATCGTTGCTGAAGATGGTAGTTTTGTTACAAATCCTGGTTATGAAATTGCTCAGTTTGTTGTTGTACCATTGAAAGAAAAATTTACTGAATTATTTAATACTCTCGATCAAAGTGAAATAAAAGACTACTTTACAATGGTTCCACAAAGTGCTTATCATGTTACATTAGCCAAATTAACATATACTGCAGGTAATGATCCACACAATTTTCAAGTTTTAGTAAGAGAACAACAAGTACTCGATGCAAGAGACACATTTACAAAAGTACTTGCTAAAGATATATCAATTGTTAATGACAATGAAATACGTGTGGCAGTCGATTTTAGTGGTGCATTTATTGACAAAGTTCTTAAGAAAGCTCAAAAACGATGGAAGAATCATTTTGCACATATAATTGCTAAAATGCATAAATCGTTTTATATAACCATCGCTTATCAATATAAACCGATACCAGATAAAGAAACTCTTGATCGAATTGAAACAACATTAAAATCAGCACAACAATTTCCTTTTGACGTTGAAATTGATCCCATTGAAATATTAGCATCTCATGATGCAGTCAGTTTTACACCTCTTCTTCCTGATGAACAATCACCATAGTATGTTTTATTTTTGTTTTATAATTAAATTTTTTTATTAAAAAAAGAAATATTCATATATAGTTAAATAATAAATCATTTCGATTTGATACATATTCATTTTTCTAGTCAGCATTGCTTTTATTCTTCTACCTTGATGAAATCATTGTAAGAAAAACTATTGTTTTTTTTGCCGTCAAAGTCAATGGGTGTTTTTCGTTTATATGGCCTATTTATGTCAGAAAAATCCTCCGCTAAGAAAGCAATTGCAATTAGTAATAATTTGATGTTATCATGTTTTCAATTAGTATTATGTGTCTGACAGTGGGTCGTCACATATTTATTCGTCTTTTAAATGAATGTATGATTCGTTTTCTCTTACTTCTCCTATTGAAGAAGTGAAATAATAAGAATAAGAAGAACAAAAACGAAACACAAGCGCATCATTAATAAGAAAGAAAGAAAAGAAAAGAAAAAAAAAAAAAAGAATATACAACCGAAAAATAAACTGAATAATGAATACGAGAAAGAGTGACCAAGAGAATAAAGTTTTTGAACAAGAAGAAAAAGAAAGAGAGAGTTTTAGATTCATGCAAATATTGCATACAAAACTGTTCGTTCTCGGAGCGGTGTGCACGACAACGTCTCTTTTCTTCTTTCTTCTCTTTTTCTTTTTGTACATAGCAAACACACAGACATACACACATCAATTTTACAGCAAAGCTAAAACATGCATACACAGAGACGAAAAAACAAAAATTTGAACAGAAAGTGATGAAAAGAAAAAGCACAGTTATTTCTGACGCGAACCAGAACCACGTGTTCCTTCTTCATCATCATCATCACCGCCACCACATGATGACTAAATTAAAACAGATATATACATATATATTGATAGATTATAACATACTTGATTTGTTTCGTCCATGATCATATCTTCATCATCACTCATTACACGAGTTTTACGTCGACTACCTGTACTATTACCAGATGTACGGGATTGAGTTTGAGATTTCTAAAAGTAATAACAAAAAACAATCAAGTATTTTAATATTAAGTGTGAAATATTAATTAGCTAAGGCTAAGTTAATATATCTTGTCATGATTGAATACATATATATAACTACATTCTTTTTCTAAAGTATTGTCTCATGATATACTCTTTTTCATCTATATAATTTTTCGATTGGAAGCAAAAAAAGGTAGTTAACTGTATGCCATTTTTCATAAGCGACAAGGATTGTTTCATTATGTAGAGACATTAATTAGTTGTTTAATGTAAGTACTTCATATGTATGACAACACAGGGTCAACAAAAAAAAATCGACGTCAGTATATTATAGAGGGACATATAGTACGTCATCGAAGGAAAAAGGACATATCATAGGTGTATTTGAATCAGTTAGAACAAACAAACGGTTCGTATGCATGACTGTGTATCATGAAAAAAAAGATAAGGAATGGGAGAAACACCTATTTAAAGCAATTTCATGCTATGATATCCGTAGTAAATGTATTGAATAGAATTTTTTTTTCTGAATGAATATCGACATCGTTGATGAAGTAAATTCATACAAGCTTACCTTTTTTACATTAGTCTCTTTTTTGACACGTTTTTTAAGAGATTCTAAAAGAAAATATTTTTTATTTGATTAATTCAAATTCTGAATTATTTTATTTACCATCATCATCGGATTCTTCTTCGGAAGCTGAACTAACTGGAATATCTCCTTTTTCCATACGTTCACGTGCATTTGTAAATACTGATTGGAGAATAATTGAATCTTCATAAATCTAAATATTCATATTTATGTATCAGTGAAGCAAAAACAAAAGGTAAAAAATTTTACATTGGAATTTTCCATATTAAATTCTTGTGCATTTTTACACAATAACATAACATCAGCTTCAAGTTCATCCAAACTTCGATAACGATTTTCACTAAGTTTTTTCTAAAATAAATAGATAAAAAATATTTTTTTTTATTCATTTTTTTTCTATCAAACTTTAATTTTATTAAAATCAACTGGTTGTTTTATTGTTTCATAATATTCAGGTAATTCTTTTTGTGTTGGTAAACGCATAAATGGTTTACTTAATATTCGATTATCCTCACTGAAATGAGACGGAAGAAATAAAAGAAATGATAAAAGAAAATTTAAATATTACTTGTCTCGATATTTAACAACAAAATCTAATAATTTTGTTAATTGTTTCAATAATTTCGGTGGAATAGGATCTTCGGAACATTTTTTATTTGTTTCTTTTAATTTTCGTTTACCAACTCGTCTACCAGCTTTTGTAGGTGTTACATCGGCATCATTATCATCTTGTTTACTATCAATTTCATCTTGTTGTCCATCATCATCATCATCATCATCATCATCTAGACCCATATTACTACCAATATTTCGTTTACGTCGACGTTTTTTATCGTGATCTGTTGTACCTAATGTTCCATCTTCAATAGCCTAAATAAATATTCAATATTTGCGAATAATGCGAAAAATAATAATTCCTATTTACTCTTAGCCATTCTTTATCTGTTAATGAATCTGAATAGTCGACTTCTTTTCTATGTCGCGTACCACGTCCAAATAAATCTAATGTTTCTTGATCTTGTATAGCTTTTTCTAATTCTTTTGGATCTTTTGTTAACCATGCAGGTAATTCTGACATTTCAAGGAGTCTTGGTTTACGATTTGCCAGTCTTGCTTCAGCATGTCTTCGTTCACGATCCATTCTCTAAACAAAAACGAACCAATGGAGATAATTAATATTTTATCTTAAATTGAAAAAACTAACATTAAATAAATTATATTCATCTTCAGATCGTGCAATCATTTGATTAATAATTTCATCGTCTGGTACTTCATCTTCTTCGCCTTCTTCACCTTCTTCTGTTTCTTGTAAAAGAATTTGTTGTAAAAATTGTTTTCGTTCATTGCCTGTTGATTTATTATTAAACATGCCAGCTTGAATAACTTTTTCATCAACATTTAATTTATAACGAGCAGCAGCTAAGATTTTTTCTTCAACACTATTAACTGTCATTAAACGAAGTACACGAACTTCATTAACTTGTCCTATACGATGTGCACGATCTTGTGCTTGTAAATCCTTTCGAAGAAGAAAACATATTTATGGAAACAAAAATCAATTTTTTTTACTTGATGTGGATTCCAATCGGAATCAAATATAATAACAGTATCGGCTGTTTGTAAATTCAAACCAAGTCCACCAGCACGTGTTGATAATAAGAAAATGAATATATCAGAATTCTTTTCACTAAATTTTGCTAATAAATCACCACGTTCTTCAGATTTCGTTTGACCATCCAGACGTAAATATGTATAATCTATAGAAAAAGAAATAAATAAATATTTAAAAATAATTTTTTTCTAAATTACTTTTATAAGTAAAATAATCTTCCATGATTGTCATTAATGTTGTCATTTGACAAAAAAGTAAAATACGATGATTTGTTGCTTTTAATTTCGGTAATATCCGATCAAGTAATTCAAATTTACCTGATGCACGATAAAGATCAGATCTACAATTAAAAATTCAATTTTTTTTTGTTTCATAATAAATAATTAGTTTGTTTATACCCATTACAAACACCATTAGTATAACTTAAATGTGCACCAATTCTTTCTTCTAATTCATTGAACATAAATGGATGATTACAGATTTTACGTAATTGCATTATAGTATTCATTAATGCTTTTGGATTACCACTTTTACCATTCTAAAATAACATTTCGATTTAGATAATATGCAGCAAAAAGAAACTGCAGATGTTATATTACAAGTAACGCTCGTCCGAGGACTCGCTTAGCTCTTTCTCATGGAAATGCATTTTCTTCACATTTACTGGAAAAACCGTGAAAAATTGATTTTCGATGTTTTTTTGACCTTTGACCCATCCTCCTCCACATGGTCACTCGAGGGACGTCAGATTCGAACTCCGATCGTCGGAATACCTCTAGAAATGTTTTTTTTGAAAAATCACTTTTCGATGTTTTTTTGACCCTGCGGACATTCAATCAAGCAAATAATTTAACTCTTCTCTACGAGAAAGAGAATAAAATAATTCTTACTTTATCTTCTGTAAGAACAATACCACTTGTCTGCATATGATTATACATAACTCTTTGTAATGCTGACATATCACACTTAATAACATATTCAATCTAGAAGAAAATATTTATTATTTTATAGTTTTTTTTGGTTTTGTTTATAGTTTTACTTTATCTGGTAATTGTGATTCGACTTCTTTTTTAAGACGACGTAAAAGAAATGGTCGTAAAACTTTATGTAAACGTCTTATAATAAGTAATGTTTCTTCTGGATTAAGTTCAACTTTTTCCAATGTTGTAGCAAATGGTGCATTAAACCATTGTTCAAATGTTGTACATGATTTAAATATGGATGGTAAAAGAAAATTTAATAATGCCCATAATTCGGGTAATTTATTTTGTAATGGTGTACCAGTTAATAATAAACGATGTGGAGCTATATAATATGTATTAAGGATTTGAGTTAATTTACAATGATGATTTTTCATACGATGACCTTCACTAGAAACAAAAAAAGCAAAATATTTCAAAAATAAATGAAAAAACAAATTTATACGAACTCTATAATCATATAACGCCATTTGATTTTAGCTAAGAGTGCTTTATCTTTGATGACATATTCATAAGTTGTTAATAGTACATTAAATTTACCATTTCGTAATTGATAACCAAGATTTTTACGTACTTGTGGGTTACCTTTAAAGATAATTGTTTGAACACCAGGTGACCATTTTTCAAATTCATTAACCCAATTAGCTAATGTACTAAAGAGAAGAATAAAAGATAAAATAAAATTTTATAATAATATTAACTTACGATAATGGTACAATAATTAAATATGGTCCATTGACTTTTTTTACTTCCATTAAATAAGTAATAAGTGCAATTGTTTGAATTGTCTAAATAGAAATATTTATTTATTATTTCTGATACGAATGTCAATACCTTTCCAAGACCCATTTCATCAGCAAGAATACCATTAAGATGATTATTATATAGTGAAACAAGCCATTCAAGACCTTGTATTTGATAAGGTTTCAGTTTTCCTCCAACAAGAAGTTCAGATTGTTTTGTAACACGTTCTCTAACTCGATGTGCAACAGCATAATAGGAATCTAATGATGCTGTATGATATTCATCATCTTCTGTTGCTTGTTTCGCTTTTGTTAAAACTTCTTTAACAATTGTTTCATCTTCAACAATACCTTTTTCTTGTTCATCAGCTGTTGGTGCTGGTATTGTTAGAGTAGTTGGTTCTGGTAAAAGTGATGTATCATCTTCTTCATCATCACTATTTTCTTTGGGTAAAACTTGCCAACCCGGATTTTTTTCTAACCATACATCAAGTTCAGATTCTAATGGTGCATCTTGTCCATCTCTAATCTCCCCAGTTGTCATATTTTTAACTCTAACATGTAAATAATCTTTTTCATCATTAGAAAAATTTGGTGGTTTTTTATCTGCTTTCTTCTTTTTTAAATCATTTTGATGTTCTTTAACAAGATTAACTAAACTTATTATATATGCATCTGTTTGTGATAATAAATAAGCTAAACGTTTATCTTTTTTTTCATCAATTAATTTCCTATAACCATCTTCATCTTCATTCATTAAACGACGCATACGTTCACGTTCACGTTTTTCTTGTTCTTTCTTTTGTTCACGTTCAGTATTTTGATGCCATGATACAATTGATCGTCCTAATTTATTTGTTTTTAATTGTATTGCTTTATGATATTCTTTAAATTCTCGTGCAGCGTTTAATACAGCCGTTAAATATTCTTGATGTTTTTGTCGACGTTTACGATCAATTTCAGCTTTTTGTGTTTTTTCTAATTTTTCTGTTGCACGTGCATCACGTAAACCAAATTGTTTTGGACGTTTATAGAATCGTGCATTTGTACCTGTTTCAAGTGTTGTATCTAAACGCATACATGTTACTATTTCTGATCGAACTTGTCGTTGAAAATTTAATAATTTAAGTGCTTTAAGTTCAATCATAATTCTTGTACGAATATGTTCTTGTGTTATTGTTTGTAGAATTTTTTCAAGTTCATTGATTCGTATTAAAATATTATTTTGTATACGACTATCACGTTCAGTAATAACATCTTGGATATCAATACCAATTGGTTTTGATACTGATGTTATACGAAGATTATTTAAACGATTTGGTGTTGACGATGATGGATTTGAATTTGTTAGATTGTCTGTGATTAATGGAATTTGAATAGATCCATTTGTTGTACCATTTACTTGTACAGGTGCATAATAACGTGGACCGAGATTATTATTTATTGGTGGTTTGTAACGTGAATCCATCATTGGTGATGGATTTGGTGATAAACTTGATGGTTGTTTTGATATAACAGCATTCGGTGGATAGAATTGTTGATGATGTCGTTTTATAATCATAAGAATTTGTTCGGGTACAGGTTGATTACGTATAAGATATTTATATGCACTTATTTGATGATTAAATAATGTTGATTGAGAAGTATTCATTGCCATAGATGTTGATGATGGATTTGATGAAGTTGACATCATTTGATTATCAACCATACCTGGATTTGACATATAAACTATGAAAAAAAAGTTATTTTATTACGATAGTATAGTTTAAAATATACTTGTTTGTTGTTGTTGTTGTTGTGGTATTTGATTCATCATCATTGGACGTTACTTTTATGAGATAAACTAATTCATACTACATGATAAAAATGATCTAAAAGACGAAAAAATTGACGAGAATATGTAATAGAATATATATTCAACTTCATAGTCAATCATAATTTGCTTGCTTCGGTTACATTTGTTCTTCTTTCATACTTGTTTCATAAACGAACGAATGATAGTCGATCATTTTATTTTACAATAGTCATGACATTGACTAATCATAACTTATACGAAATAGATGTCGCACAAATACAAAAAAAATCATTTATATGAATCTATGAGCATATAGCTGCCTAATTCGAGTTCGAATATAAACGGATATTAAAAAAAGAAAAACTAATACCTATTTCCAGGGGCGTAAGTCAGGTGTCAGAGCAGGGGGCGAACCCTAGTTTTTCTATTTCAATGGTCAAAAAAAGTGAACTTTCTAGAAGCAGGGGGGGGGTGTAAACCTCTTTTCTCCTATTAGTTTTCGGAAGCAGGGGGGCGCCGCGCCCCCTATTTACGTAACTGCCTATTTCTAGGAATAGATTTAGTTCAAAAATAGTTTTCAGGTAAATCCCTCTCACCCGCCCCTTGGTCGTATATATAAATCTTAGAGTAAAATTAAAACTGAATATATTTCTAAATTTCACCATTTATATTCGAATTCGAAAGCTCATCAAAACATATGACAGAAGTAGAATGAGGGCAAAAAAACATTATATATATGTTCATATTAAAGACGTGACAATGTTCACTGTTCAGAATAAAGAGGTGTTATTTTAATGTATCTTTATTTTTTGAATAAACTTTATTAAACATTTTTTTTTATTATTAAATTAACGCATTCTCTATATACTACAGCATCTTTCGGATACGAAAAAAAAACTTTGCACCGACATACGGATTTACAAAATAATTAAATGCAAAAAAAAAGGTAAACTTCGAATTTCGAAAAAAAAAATTAATAAGAAAAACATAACTCAATATATAAACGACAAAAAAAAAGAAGAAAACTACATTGAAATTTAAATTCATTATTTTTAAATATTGAAATATTTACAATGGAAGTTGATATGTATAAACTCGATAATCTTTTGATGCTAAATGAAGAATATTTGAATTTGATTCTATTGCAACATCAAGAATTTGTGAATGACAGATTCGAGCTGTATATGCACCTAAACGTTTCTTTTGTTCATATTCATCATAAACAGTTATATTTAAACCTTGATGATTATCAATTGTTATTAATTGTCCTTTCGAATTTAATTTAATATTTGTTGGATATGTTATATAATTTGCTTCTTTGATTTCACGTATCAATTGTCCACTATATGAAAATACTTTAATTGTATGAAGATGATTATCAGATATAAATATTTCATAATTATTTGAACAAATTGATGTTGGAAATTGTAAATGTTCATTTAAATGAAATAATGAAAGAATTTTTCCATCTAATGAAAATATATGTAATTTTTGTACTTGTGATTCAATAACAATAATACGATGTGATTGATCAACAGTTAATGCACGTGGTTTTTCTAAATGTTGACCAAATCGACGAATAAATTCTCCTGAACAACTAAAGACATGAATTTGTGGACGTGGATGACGTTGAATAACAACTAATTCATCATTTCCACCTGGTACAACAGCTATACGATATGGATAAAGTAAATTTTGACAACCTAATGTTCGTCCACGACCAAATGAATATTCAAATTGACCTGTTTCACTATGAAAGACTTTAATACAATGAGCATTTGTATCAACAACAGCTATTTTGCTAGATTCAAGCCATGCAACACTATTTGGTTCACGAAATGCATTATTTCCATCACCATATTGACCTAACGAACGATCCCATTTTAATACTTGACGAAATGAACCATTTTTATAACGTGTTTCAGAACGACCATGACTATTTCGACGACCTTGTGTTGGTTCAAGATGAATTCGATCAGCATCAGTTGGAGTCCATGCTTAAATTAAAACCCATTTTTTTCTTAAAAGAATATAACTTCATTCTTCTACTTACTATCAACAGTTTTAATAATAAAATCTTCGGGTGGTGAATATGGAACTATACGATGAAAAAAAAAAGAAACATAAGAATGAAATAAAAGATTTTTATAAGAATA